AGAAAAAGGCAGAAGGGGCACTGTGGTTCAAGTGGTAAAAGTAGAGTGTTAGCCTCAAGCAAAAGAAGCTTAGGGACAGCACTCAGACTCTGTGTTCAGGCCCCACAAATGGGGGTGGGGGAGAAAGGAAGTTGAATACTATCAAAATAGACTATTTGCAACTATGAAAACAAAGCAAGGGAACCTGAAAAAAAAGAAATATAATAAATAATAAGAGAAAAGAAAATCTGAAGATATGACCTTTAAATTCTAGTGTACTCAAATCTGAGGCTCAAGAGTGGCCTGGTACATAGTCACCCCAAGGTCTACCCATGAGAATCTAGTGCTGACATCTTACCACTGGCTGCTCTGTTTCATATTTCCACTTAAGAGTCAGGTTTCAGGGTAGTGAAAACTTTTCTTTCATTTTGTAACCAGAGCCCTGAGAGGAACTGGAAACTAGCAAGGGAAACACAAAACAGAAGATTCCCTTCATTATATCACTAGACAGGTTTTATTTTCCTTTTATAGAGCTGGGATTGACCTCATGACCTTGCACATACTAGGCAAGTTCTCTACATCACCAGTCCTTTGTGTTCTTCAGCCCCTCACCCCTCAGGCACACCATCTCACTATGCAGCCCTGGTTAGCCTTAAACTCAAGATCCCCCTGTCTCTAACTCTCCCCAGTGAAATGGAATTTGGAAATTTTCTTTCCACAGTGGCTTAAGATAACCATAACCCATTCACATCTCTGGCTCTATAACTGAACAACCACTAGGGTCACAGTCCTGTAGTAAGCAAGGTCTGCTTAGTAGCTCAGCAGCAGACAGTAAATGGCTGCTCTACTGCCAGCACTACTGGTGTAGCCTTCTCAGGTTCTTGTCTCAGGGATTGACTAATGCAGTCGAGAACAATGGAAGACAAGAGCAAAGAAGTCTAAGAGAAGTGTTTCAGCCAAGGCCTCTGCTGCTCTGTGTGCCTTCTATCATGATCCATTGTGTGATCTATGTCTTCTTCTGGTGTCTAGGGATTTTTACATCTTAGGCTGCACTATGCAAATGAGGTGTGAAACAATTGACCAATCAGAGAAGACATGCTGAAGCATGGTGGGTTTAAAGATCTGAAAGTGTCCTTGTTGATTAAGTCTGTCACCTGACACTCCCCTCCCCCCTCCCCCGCCCCACACGGTATGAATAATTGGTAAGGGTTAAGGTAAGATATTCTATTCTCTAGAGCTGAATTTTAAAAAATAATAATTGTAAGAGCCGGGCACCAGTGACTCATGCCTATAATCCTAGTTACTCAGAAGGCTGAGATCTGAGGATCAAGGTCCAAAGCCAGCCTGGGCAGGAATGTCCGTGAGACTCTTATCTCCAATAAACCACTCAGAAAACCAGAAGTGGCACTGTGGCTCAAGTGGTTGAGCACTAGCCTTGAGCTGAAGAACTCACAGACAGCACCCAGGCCCAGAGTTCAAGCCCCACAACCAACAACAAAAACAAAAATAAATGATAATTACATTGTCATTATTAAGGTATTGTACAGAGGGGCTACCATTTTATAAGTCAGGTAATGAATACTTTAATATTTTTGGACAATGTCACCCTACTTTTCCCTTCCTGTCCCTCCCTACAAGTTACATAGATCATTTTCCACATAGTATTTACTGAATAGCATATTTGCTTTTGTTCGCCCTTCCTCCCGCCCTTTCTGCTCCCCTTTAACACCCCCCCAAGAAAAAACCCAAAGCAAAAACAAACACCAATAACAAAAGAGAGTCGAATTTTCTTAACAGTCTAGCTTTTTCCATAATCCTGTCTCATCTGTCCAAGCCAGCAATGCCTTCCACTGCATGATGTTCTCCAAGGAACCTGGACTCTAATCTACCTAACCTTTTATCTTTTAAACTAAATTTACCCTTTCAAGTTGCTGTTCCCAGGTGCCATTTGTGTTCATACCTATAATTCTAGCTACTCAGGAGGCTGAGATTTGAGGATCACAGTTCAAAGCCAGTCTACCCAGGAAGGTCCATGAGACTCATCTCCAATCAACTACCCCCCTCCTCCCCCCAAAATAGAGCCAGAAGTGGTAGATAGCCTTGGACAATAAAGCTCAGAAACAGCGTCCAGGGCCTGAGTTCAAGCCCCAGGACTGGTACAAAAAAGGGGGGGCAGTTGGCAATTCAGGGGTGTGCCACTACACCTGGCTGGCTAAGTATTGATTAAATGCCTACTGCAAGGTTGGCCTGTACTGGGAGAGGTGGCAACAACTGTACCGCGTTTTCCGCTCTGGACAGGGGTGGAGAGGGAAACAAATCAATCAAGGATCGCTGGGGGCTTGGCAAGTGGCTAAACACTTGCCTACTAAATGTGAGTCCCTAAATCCAATCCTGCCAAAATAAAATGAAATCGATCAAGGATTATACAAGTTCATACACACTACAGCCATGGAAAGTTCCAGGAAGGAAAAGAACAGGCTGTTGATCAGCGAATTCCACCTGTCTCCACGGGCACGGGGTCAGGAGGGCTCCCAGAAGAGTCTGATCCGAGCCAGGAAGACATTTCCACAGGAACTTCCAGTATGGGCTGCTGGGACACATTGTGCTCACGCCCACCACCTCACGGGCTCCTGCCTTCCCCTAAGCCTGCCAGGAAACTTCCAGTAACCAAGCCCTTGGATGACACACTTTGGGTAATCCAGAGAGGATGACCCAAGACCTAGTGCCAGACACGTGCTTTTTGGTGAGCAGGAATTCGAGCGCTGCAGCCTCTGCTCTTCCCCTCAGTAGCCACGGGGGGGGGGGGGGGGGGGGGGAGGGCGGTGTTCCACTTAGGGATTTTCCTTCCATGTGTTTCTGGGCAGCCAGCCTGGCACACACCTCTGGCTCTCAGGCTTAAGGCATGGTTGACCCACCTATGAGGCCCACCTCCTCCTCGGCTGAATTGGGGGAGGGGGCGGTCCTTGCTGCTGCCCCTGCGCCCCAAGAGCCCCCACTGTAGCAATCTCCCCGCTTCACGTCTGCCACCTGCCTCCAGGAATGAGCTTCTCCCCATAAGGCTTCTTCATCTTCGTTCTCTGTCCCTGCTGATGTCCAGGACTGCCTTCAGTAGCTGCTCATTCGCTCTGTGACCCCCGACTTTCTCATCTCCAAAACGAGGAGGGGGGGAGGCCTGGAGGTGGGACTCGGTGGTAGAGTGCCTAGCAAGCATGAGGTACTGAGTTCAAATCCCATTACTAACAAAATCAAACTAGTAAAGACAATGAGGCTAGTGGAGAATTCTACCTCCTAGATGTCACAGGTAAATGAGAGCTCCCACATAATCCAGGTATTACAGTCTCTGTTGTACACTTAAGAACTCAATTCCAATTCGTCTGACTCACGCAGAGTCTAAGCCTGGACTGGTCGGTCTGGCACTTCCAGCCGAATTTTCAAGCTAGAGAGACCCACAGACCTAGGTTCCCTAGATGCAGGCTCTCGACGGGAGGGGCGAGACGCGGTGCGGGAAGGGGGCAGTATGGGAAGGGGGGCCGAACACAGCAGGCAGGCGACTCGGAGCCCTGAGAGCAGAGGCAGAGGCACGCGGAGGCAGGGGTGGGGGCGCACAGGTCTGGGGAGTTGGGAAATGCGGGGTCGGCGCTCGGCCCAAGGGTCCACAGGGTCCGAGTGGAGTCAGCAAACAGAGTGGGGGAGGTGAGAGTCGGCGCATGCATCAGGGATCGGCGCACGGACTCCTAGGGCTCCTAGGCACACGGCGGGGCGGGGGGGGGGGGGGGGGGGGAAACAGGGCGAGATCGGCGCACGGCCTCGGGAATCCGCACACGGACCCAGAGAGGGCGGGGCGGCTCGGCACACGGCCCCAGAGAGCGGCACACCGCCCAAGGATCGGCGCACGGCCCGGGAAGATCCACACACGGCCCCAGGGGGCGGGGTGGGCGCAGGGGCCCTGGGGAGCAACACACGACCCCAGAGAGTGGCACACCGCCCAAGGATCGGCGCACGGCCCGGGAAGATCCACACACGGCCCCAGGGGGCGGGGAGGGCACACTGGCCAGGAGAGCGGCACAGGGCCCCAGTGGGTTGGCGCACGGCTCAAGGATCGGCGCACGGCCCCGGCATCCGCACACGGCCCGGCAACCTCACAGGGCCCGGGAGATCCACACACGGCCCTAGGGGGCGGGGTCTGCGCCCGGGCCCCGGGATCCGCACACGGCCCGGGAGATCCGCACACGGCCCGGGGCTGCAGGGTCGACGCACTTTCCGGGAATCTGCGTACGGCCCCAGTGGGCGGGGTCTGCCCCCGGGCCCGGGGATCCGCACACGGCTCCACGGGGCAGGGGGCAGGGTCGGCGCCCGGCCCCGGAGCTGGGCACACGGTTCCAGAGGGGAGGGGGGTTGCTTAGTGCCTGGCCATGAGATCGCACACAGCCCTGGGGAGCCGCATACCGCCCAAGGTGGTCCACACACACGGCCCGAGGGGGGCGGGCCAGTGCCCTGCACTGAGGGTTCTCACACAACCTGTGGGGAGGGGGGAGTTCGTCCGCCGCCCGACGGGGCAGGATCAGCGGCGGGCACTAGGGGTTCGCGCTACGCAGGGCCCGAGGGAGCAGGGGCGGCGCACAGCCCGCGCAATTCGCACTCGGCCCTGGGCTCCGCACACACGGCCCGAGGGGGTGGAGCCAGCGCCCGCACGAAGGGTTCGAACACAGCCAGGGGGGGAAATGTGCAACCACGGCTCGGGAACTGGGGGTTCGCGTAGGCCCAAGGGGACCGGGTGGGGGAGGCGGAGTGGATGCTTGACCCCCGGGGAACGGCTCGCAGTCCGCGGGGGCGGGGGCGGGGGCGGTGCCGGGCACTAGGGGTTGGGCTGGGCCGGGCGGGCGGCACACGGCGTTCCCTTTCTGCACCCAGGGCGCTCGGAGCACGGGGTGACTCAGCGGGGGCGGCGCACGCGGCGGCCCGCCCGGGCGGGGCTTTTGCGCTCGGCCCGGTTCCTCGTTCTATAAAGTCAGCGCGCGCACACTGCGCTCCACCACGCCGTCTCCGATCACAGACACCGCTACTCCTTGTGCGTCTGACTCCGCATCCCCACCTCTACGCTCGCCATGGACCCCAACTGCTCCTGCGCCACTGGTAAAGGGGACCGGGAGGGGCGAGGCGTTTGTGGCGCTTCTTTCTCGGCACCCTCGATTTCGGAGCCTTTTTTACACTAATAAGCTGTGGAATGAGTAGCTTGCCCGCCCGAGTTCCCACGAGTTGCTTGTGGGACCCGGGATTTCCGCTCGGTCCTGCGTTCACGTGTCTGACTTTATCACCTTCCTCCTTGCAGAAGGACCCTGCGCCTGCGCCGGCGCCTGCAAGTGCAAAGAGTGCAAATGCACCTCCTGCAAGAAGAGTAAGTCGGGGTCCTGTCCTTTCTGCCCCCCGTCGCGGTCCCCCACCCCTGCCTAGTGATTCTTGGGAGAATTTTACCCTTGGGGAAGCTGGGTGGGGATGTTATGGAAACTATGGCCTGCACCGAGACCCCGATTAAGGAGGAGGACGGGAGTCCTTTTTCCTTTGTCCCCAAACGCTAACCTGGTCTGCTGTCCCCTCGCCCTTCCCAGGCTGCTGCTCCTGCTGCCCCGTGGGCTGTGCCAAGTGTGCCCAGGGCTGTGTCTGCAAAGAAGCAACTGAGAAGTGCAGCTGCTGTGCCTGATGTGGAGGGGGGGGAAGCCCCCACGTGTAAATAGAGCGACTGTACAAACCTTAAGTTTCTTTTTTCTTTTTGTTTTTTTTTTACATCCCAGACCCATGCTCCATTCCGGTTTCTGTGACGTGTATGACTGAGAATAAAAGTGGCTGATTTGATTCTGGCTCTGGTCTTCTTTGTGCACCTTGTAAATAAGGGGCTGGGGTGAGAGACTGAAGTACCAGGTTGCTGGTGGCTCACACCTGTAATCCTGGTTACTTAGGAGGCTGAGACTTGGAAGTTGGGCGTGCAGAAAGTACAAGGGACTGTCTCGTGGAGCAGCTTTTCCCCCTGAATTAAAAAAGGACGAGGCAAGGATCAAATGGTGGAGCAGCAGGGAAGATTGGAAAGAGCATGGTGCTCTTGAGTTCAGTCCCTATTGCTGGCACCTGTAGGGGCGGTCAAGTGGCACAGTGCCAGCCAAACAACTCAAAACCCTGAGTTCAAACTTTGGTACAGCAAAAACTTTTATGAAAGGGGTACTTCTGGGAAAGGTACCAGAAGATAGAGGGAGGTGAATATTACACAAGTAAATTAAGTGTATGTGTAAAAAACTTTTGAAACCCACCAAAAAGGGAGACAGGGAGGGAGAAGGGGTTAAGGAGGAATAATGCAGATGGGTTGGGTAGACTTAAAAGTACTTTGAGTTCTAAATATCACAATGAAGCTCCTCTGCACAATTCATGCTAATTTAATAAGTGACTAGAGGTTGGAGGCATGGCTCAGTTGGTAGAACACCAGCTAATCAGCAAAAAGAGTCAGTTGAATCCTAGAGGTAGGGGATGGTAGGGAGGAAGTGAGTATAGCCAGGTGCCTATGGCTCAGGCCTATAATCCTAGCCATCAGGAAACAGATCTGAGGATCACAGTTTGAAGCCAACCCTTGGCAGGAAAGTCTGTGAGATTCTTAATCTCCAATAACGAGCAAAATGTTGAAAGTACAGCCTATGGCTCAAGTGGTAGAACACCATCTTTAAGCAAAAAAGCTAAGGGACAGCAGCCAGGCCCTTAGCCTGGGTACTGGCACACACCACATGTACACCACACACACACACACACACACACTACAGGTTTATGAAGCTAGAGGTAATACAGGCCTATAAATCACAGCACTTAGAAGGCTGAGGAAGGAGGATTGAGAGATCAAGGCCAGCTTGGACTACATAGCAAGACCCTATCTCAAAACCAGAATTTAAAAAAAAAAAAAAAAAAAAAAAAGAGCTAATGGTGGTGAAGTGGCTGCCTAACAAGTCTAGCAATCCCTGACAAGTCTAGCAATCCCTGAGGCCCTGATTTAAAATCTCAGTATTGCCTAAACAAAGTGACTACAGGGTATGAAATGCAACTCCAGTTGTTTGAATCTCATGGAGTTTCTCAATGTAGTGTAGATGCCAGAAATTATTTTCTATCAGTCACAAATGTAAAGTTTGGTAAAAAATAAAAAGTTAATAAAAAGAAAAGGAACTAGGCAGGGTGGCACACATAGCCAGGCCCTGTCTCAAATAGGAGTATGAGTGTAATTTAAAAAACAAAAAAAACAAAAAAAAATCCTTTTTTTAATCCAACAAGAAAATTTATATCTACATATGAATAGCAAAATAATGAAAAACAGGAGAATTACAAACATTACACATTTATACAAGGTACGCATTGTAGACTGTAAACTGAATCACACAGTTTGCCTGCCTTGGATCTCCACAAGGAATCCTCCTAAGTCACTCAGGCTGCACTGGGACACAGACAAGACTCGCCCTCTCTCTAAGTGCTCTCTGATGGGACCTGGCAGTGAATCTTTGGAACTTCTTCTTAAAATCAGACCGAATCTGCTTCTCATTCGTAGGCCAATCCTTGACTATTTCAACTTGTCAGGTGACTAGAGATTTGGAGGGAATTGTCTAGCATTTTCTGGTAGATGAGGAAAGCACGAGGAGTTTTGGATCAGGATGAAGTAAAGTAACACTCCCAACCCCTTTCCCCCAGCTTCCCACGCAGAGAGGTGAGGGTGGAGTCCCAGGTTCACAGGATGTGAAGAAATGAGGCCTGGCTGATTTATAATTACACCCAACAGTTAGTGCCTCCCAGCTATTGGGTTAATGCTATTTGATGTTCAAAGAATTTCTTGGCTAGCGGTCAGGACCAATGTGGTCCTCTGTTCTAAAGGGGTGATTTCAGAAGGCTGTCTCTGCATGAGTTGGGTGTCAGAAAGTCCTAATTCACAGTCCACTTCATCCCTTACTGTTTGTGTGCCGTGGGCAAATCACTGAACATCTCTGAGCCTCCATTTTTCTTACCAGATTGAACCCCAAAATTACTGATAGCCTGTTTTCCTGCACTAAGATGTTGCTTGCTCTACCTTCTGCCCTTTCCTACCTTCCCTTCCTCCCCTTTCCCCTCCCTCCCTCCCTCTCTCCCTTCCTTCCTTCCTTCCTTCCTTCCTTCCCTCCTTCCTTCACTCCTTCCTTCCTTTTTGTGCCCATTCTGGGACTTGAACTCAGGGCTTGGGTGCTGTCCCTGAGCTTTTATGCTTAAGGTTAGCACTCTACCACTTGAGCCACAGCAGCTCCACTTCCAGCTTTCTTTGTTAGTTAATTGCCAGTAAGAGTCTTGTGGACTTTTACTGCCTAAACTGGCTTCTCACTGTGATCCTCAGATCTCAGCCTCCTGAGTAGCTAGAATGATAGGCTTGAGCCACCAGTGCCCAGCTCAGTTTGGCTTTTTGCTTGTTAGGTCAGAGACAGTCTTGCTGACTTTTCGCTTAGGTCATCTTTGAACACTGAGATCCTCTAGGTCTCAGCTTCCTGAGTAGCTAGGATTACAGTCACAGAAACACTAAAGCCCAGCCTTTGTTCTCTCTTTTAAAGTCTTTATTACTATGTAGCCCACACCAACCTTGAACTCGGGATCCTCCTGCCTTAGCAATCCTGTTTATGGGTGTGTATCACCACGCCTGACACCACATGGACTTTCTGTGGGGAGAAAGAATCCTGTCTCAACAAGTTCTGGGGGAGCAGGGAATGGGTGACTCATGGCTCTAATCCTAGCTGCTGAGGATTATGGTTCAAAGCCAGCCAGGGCAGAGAAGATTCTTCTTTTTTTGGGGGGGAGGTCTGGTCGTGGGGCCTGAACTATGGGCCTGGGCGCTTTCCCTCAGCTCTTCAGCTCAAGGCTAGTGCTCTACCACTTGAGCCACAGCGCCACTTCCGGCTTTTTTCTTTTTGTTTATGTGGTGCTGAGGAATCGAACCGAGAGCCTCAGGCATGCAAGGCAAGTGCTCTACCACTGAGCCACCTTCCCAGCCCCCAGAGAAGATTCTTATCTCAAACATCCCCCAAAAGCCAAAGTAGAGTGCCACCCTTGAGTGAAAAACAAACAAACTAAACTAAACTAAACTAAAGGGCAGCACCCAGGCCCTGAGTTCAAGCCCCAGTATCAGCACAAACAAACAAACAAAAAGCTCTAGGAGAAAGCTGGCTTGGAAGGATGGGTGACTGAGGGCTAGAGGCTAGGGGTGTGGAAAGCCAAGTTGTTTGTGGATGTGTATAGATGATCTGCACAAAGCACTGTGTGTTAAAATAACGTTCCAGCTTTTTAACAAACACAAAGCCTTACCAAACTCTTTATTTCTTGTAACCTAGAGAGAAAGTATATAGCTGAATAACCTTGTCTTTCAGAGTGGCTAAACAACCTGGCCAAAGCCAAACAGCTCAAAAGTCAGAAGACTGACATGCCATGACCACACTGGTAGATTAGAAAAATGGACCTAAAAACACTATCTCTCGCTTTAGTACTGTGGGTGAGTGAAAGCAGTTCAACAGGAGGTGCTCTTGCTGCTCTTGCTGCAGACCTCCGGCCCCCCTCCCTCTCCCCAAACATTCCCTGTGGTTGTAAAAGAGAAAACGTGAATTAAGGGCCCTACCATTTGTTGACCTGTCCCTATGAGGCAAGATAAGATTCAGTACAAAGAGCCCTTATCCCCTGTTCTCATCCTGCCCCCCTTCCACAGCAAACTACCCCAGACCCCTGCCCTACCTGACTTTACTCTCTGTGCCTAATAAATAGACTTAAACAAGGCATTGTTGGCTCACTTCTGTAATCCTAGCTACTCAGGAGGCCGAGATCTGAGGATTGTGGCTGGAAGCCAGCCCTGGGCAGGAAAGACCATGAGGCTCTATCTCCAACACACTACTTAGAAAAAGCTGGAAGTAGAACTGTGCCTTAAGTGGTAGAGTGCTAGCCTTGAGCTGAGCATAAGAAGCTCAGGGACAGTGCCTAGGCCCTGATTCAAGCCCTAAGATCAGCACAATTAGCGTGCGTGCATACACACACATACAAAAAGAGACATCGGTATTTTTGTTTATTTTTTTCCAGTCTTAGGGCTGGAATTCAGGGCCTGGGCACTGTCCCTGAGCTTCATTTGCTCAAGGCTAGCACTCTACCATTTGAGCCACAGCACCACTTCCAGCTTTTTGTTAATGTGGTACTGAGGAATTGAACCCAGGGCTTCGTGCATGCTAGGCAAGCACTCTACCACTAGGCCACATTCCCAGCCCCAAGAGTCATCAGTAGTAAGAGAGCATGTTATTGTCTCTCCAGTCTGGCTGGAAAACTTTGGCATCCCTTTCAGGCTTTTGTCCCTGAAATAAAAGTCTGTGGTCTGTTGAGTTCACTTTCTGCATTTTCTTTATTCTGATACCCTTCTGACTAAGTTTCCTTACAGGTGGGAGCTGACACAGGCCTATAATAGAAATACTGTGAAGGGGATAACTACATTTTCAGCATTCTTATTTAGATAGGGTATCCATGTTACCTACAACTATTTATCCCTATCTGAAAATGGACATCTTCCATTTTTAGAACATCCAGCCTCACCTTCCCCCTCCCCCCCCCCCCCAAAAAAAAAAAGAAAAGAAAAAAGAGTGAAAGGAAGATTGTTGGGAGAATTTGTTTTTTGGCCAGTCCTCAGGCAAGTCAGGGACAATGTGTCTATACATGCCCAGGAGGAGAATAGAAGAGAGCTACCCTATGACTGTGCTGCTATATACAAAAGGAAAGATCGCCAGGATTGAAATAGGGGCAGAGAACAGCTGTGTCGGGCAAGGAAAGTTCATATGCAAGGCTAG